TGAATTTGTTCCGTGAAGAGGATTTCCTGCCGCTCCCTCTGGAGGAGGACTCCGGGGGTGAGGAAGTGAGCGTCCCGTTCGCTGCTGAAGATTCCCCAGCATCACCCGTTGTTCCCCCGGTTGTCGCCGGCCCTCCTCCAGATGTTGCGGTGCCGTCGGATGTTACTCCTGCTCCTGTCTCTGGCCCTGCTGCTCCAGTGGGCCTTCCTGGCACTCCCTATGGCGTCGTCATGTGCTTCCTCATCTTCGGCTGCTGGACCTGACCCTGCAGCCTCACCTCGGGGTCCCTACTGTGCTGGGTGCTGGGGTGGCTGCGGAGCCTCCTGCTGTGTGTGGTCCGGTTCCCCCTGTGGTAGAGGCTGCTGCTGTTCTGCATCGGGTGTCGGTTCGTCCGGCTAGTGGTGCCCGTGTTTCTGGGTCTGCTTCCGGCTCTGACGATATCCGGCTGGAGCCCAAACGTTCCAGGCGTTCGTCTACTGCCTGGGCCGATGTTGGGGACTTCAGTGACTCTGTTGACGGCGTGGATCCGGATGCGTCGTTGTCTCCGCAGTTCGTGGTGGCGGAGGTACATGTGCCTGCTAGTGCTGATGCCCGTGTCTCGGGTGTGCCTTATGTTCCTTCCCCACCAGGGTGTTCTCCGCAGGGGGGGTGTGGTGGCTTCCGCTGCCAGGGATAGTGCGGATGCTGGTGCTGGACGTGGCCTGGTAGTGACTTTACGTAAGGATGCGCGCCGCCCTGGTTCCCTGCAGTCATCTGGTGGTGTGCCCCTGTGGTGGTGCCCTCTGTCCGGCCCCCTCCTGTGGAGTTGCGAGATGAGGCCGTGGTTGCAGAGTCCTTGCTGTCGGAAAGGCCGGAGGACTTTCATGATGGGCGGGTTCCTGTTGTATGGAGTCGGGTGGCGGTTACTCGCCTCCGGAGTGACACCGTCTGGGTTCCCTGCTTGCGGGTGTTTGTTGCCGGGTTCCGGATATCATGGAGCCCCCGGAAGATCATGACTCTTGGGGGCGGTGGCTGCATTGGGTGGCGTTCAATGCGCGGTTCCCCTGGGTCTTGTTCCCGAGCAAATATGTCGGCTGATTCCATGTTGCTGTAGTGTTGTGTGCCCCTATGGCCTTTTGTTTGCCCTCTTGTGCTTTGTGCCCGTGCCTCTCCCTTATTTGTTGCGAGGCAGGTGTTTTGGTGAGGGCGTTTTTATTCATGTATTTGCTTTTGTGTTGTTACTTTTCCCTGTGTATTATGCTTATGCATTGCTAGAATGTGTTTTTTTTTTCTTTTTCTTTTCCTTTTTGTTATTTGTATTTTTTATTGTTTTTAATTTTGTTTTTAATTGTTTTTAATTTTGTTTTTGTTATTGTTTTGTTTTTATTTTTGGCTTGTTGTGTGCTGTGCATTTTCTTGTTCTATTTTCATGATGTCCTTTATGTTGTGTTTTGTTCTCGGTCCTTCAGGCCGGTGCTTGTTTGTTGTGTATGTTACTATGTTTCGTTTTCTTGATTGTGTGGTTTGCTTGTTTGTAATTATTGTATATTTTGGCCTCTCCCTTTGTTTGTTGCGAGGCAGTTGGTTTGGTGTGCGTGCTTTTATTTATGTCTTGTTTATGAAATGTACCTTTGCACTAGTGTTTTATTCTTGCATTACATGTTGTACTTGTTTTTTATTTTTTTGTTGTATATTGTGATTTTCCTGTTTTATGTTGTTCCTCTTGATGTTTGTTTTACTTTTTGTTTTTTACTGTGCTTGCTTGTTTGGCATTGTTTTCTATATTGTTTGCTGTGTTTATCATGCATTTATCGTGTTTGTAATTTGTTGTACTGTGCTGTTGGCCCTTCTGGCCGGTGGTTTCTCGTTTTGTTTGTTTTCTTATGTTTTCAAGTTATTGTCTTGTTTTTATTGTATTTAAATTGCATGCCTGCATGTAAAAAAAAAAAAAAAAAAACTTACAGGCTATTCATGCATGTGCCACCTTTTGGGTGGCTTAATCTTCATCAATCAATCTTGGACACATTGGGGAGACATCTCCCATCACGCAGGGTGCAGCCGCACCTCCACAGATCTCCAGTATCATCTATTGATACTGGTAATGGCTCACAAGGGCCACCACTTACGGGCTATTCATGCGCGTGCCACCTTTTGGGTGGCTTAATCTTCATCAATCGATCTTCAATCAATCTTGGACACATTGAGGAGACATCTCCCATCACGCAGGGTGCAGCCGCACCTCCACAGATCTCCAGTATCATCTATTGATACTGGTAATGGCTCAAAAGGGCCACCACTTACAGGCTATTCATGCCCGTGCCGCCTTTTGAGGTGGCTTAATCTTCATCGATCAATCAATCGGCCAGTCTTTTACGGGCTCACCATAGCCTGTGCTACATGGACCCTTCGTTCCGAGTAGCTAAATCTGAAACAGCAGCAACGGCCAGTCTCACACAGCACCGCTCCTGTGCCAGGCAAGTCCACTACGAGTTCACCATGGCCCGTGCTACTTGCCCCGTTCCTGTGCCAGTTAAGTTACGGGCTCACCATAGCCCGTGTTACTTGCAACTTGTTCCGAGTAGCTGAATCTATAACAACTACAACAGCCAGTCTTCAGAATACGTTTCGTGCTCTCAAAGCCGTAACATGTACTGTAGTCTTCCCAGGAAACAGAAGACGCGTACAGCTTCTTGTATATTGTATTCAGTTTTGCACCTTTCTTTGCCATTAACGTAACTGCCACCTGCTCATATTTCATTTGTATTATGTATCGCCAAGTAGAATATAGGAATTATTTTATTTGTTGATAAAGTCATTTGTTATATATTAAATATTTAGTTTTTTATTCTTTTGGAATTTACCCGCATCTCTCACCCATAAAGAGGTCAGAAGCAGTCTTATTTACTTTATTTTACCTTGTAATTTATGTGATTGGCTTAACACAAGCCAGAATAGCCACTGCTGTTTTTTCTGATTAAAGTCACGATATATATATACAGTATAACTGAAAACTTACACCCCAGAAGTGACTCGAACCCATACTGCCTGGAGCACTCTGCAACTGGTGTACAGGACACCTTAACCACTCGACCATCACGACCAGACAAAAGATGATGGTAGCCGAGGCTAATTCCCCATCATCCCGCTGGCACTCTGATGGTAATCTTGGGCATAGTATTTTATCAAATCACCTCATTCTTTGGGGCACACATAAGGAACACAAATGCGAACAAGCCTGAATGGTCCCCAGGCATATATGCAACTGAAAACTCGCCCCAGAAGTGACTCGAACCCATATTGCCAAGAGCACTCTGCAACTGGTGTACAGGACACCTTAACCACTCGACCATTGACTGAACAATGGTCGAATGACTGAATGGGGACCATTCAGGCTTGTTCGCATATTATATATACTGTATATACAATATATATATACTGAAAACTCCACACCCCCAGAAGTACCTCGAACCCAGACTGCCAGGAGCACAATGCAACTGGTGTACATAGTACTTTAACCACTCGATCATCAGTGACTGTACATAAGATGAAAGCTTACTAGTGTTCCTTCTTATAGCTTGATTACCACAGTCTCCATGGCATAGTAATAAGACGCTCGCCTGACGTTCCGCGAGTGCTTTGTCCTGAGTTCGTATCCTGGCCGGAGGAGGATTTAATGCGCGCAAATCCTTAACTGTAGCCTGTTTAAGTCGACAGTAAAATGGGTACTTGGTTGTAAACACGATTCTTCGTGAGGGTCGCATTCCAGGGAACCTAGGATTAAGGACTTGCCCGAAACGCTACATGTACTAGTGGCTGTACAAGAATGTAAGACCTCGTATATATATACAGTATATATGAATAAAAAAAAACGAGGCTATTTGACCACCATCCCGACGGCACTTTGATGGTAATCTTGGGCATAGTTGTTTCATCAAATCACCTAATTTTGTGGGGCCCTGTGAGCAACACAAATACGAACAAGCTTGAATTGTCTCCAAGCATATATACAACTGAAAACTCCACACCCCAGACCGCCAGGAGCACAATGCAACTGGTTGCACATATGCTTGGAGACCAAGCTTGTTCACATTTGTGTTGCTCACGGGACCCCACAAAGCGAGGTGATTTGATGAAATAATTATGCCCAAGATTACCATCAAAGTGCCATCGGGATGGTGGTCAAATAGCCTCGGCTTTCATTGTCTTTTGTACGGTCACTGATGGTCGAGTGGTTAACCAGTTGCATTGTGTTGAGTCACTTCTGGGGTGTGGAGTTTTCAGTTGCATATATGCTTGGAGACTATTCAAGCTTGTTTGCATATATACATAATATATATATATAGTCATAACACTTCGTTGTATGCCAGTTGAGTCAAGTGAATGTGCTTTACTAGTACAGGTAATACTATATTTTGTATTGTGGATGCTATAATGAATGAACATTTAATATTTTATTATGCAATTTTATATTCTTCATTTACTATATTACTGTACTCACCTTTCTCGGTTCATGCAGGTCGCAGTTCAATCTCTAACTGTCCAAGTGGTTGGGCACCATTCTGTCCCATCCCAAATCCTTATTCTGATCCCTTCTTAGTTTTATATACAGTAGTAGTATTGGCTTGGCACTTTCTCATGATAATTCATTTAACTTCTTAAACAATTGATTCGGTCGAGAGTACACAATTACAAGAGCCGACAGTTATTCAGGGGACACTGGTTTAGCATTGTACCTCACCTGCCATCTGGACATAAAGTTGACTATTTTCTCTGCATTACCCTGCAACAAAGCATTGAGTAATGATGTTCTGAGCTACATAAAACATTTTTGTTTCATGTACTATTTACACTGATGACCAGGAGTGCCAAAAGATAAATCTGACATGGTGAGGAAAGGAAGCCGTAATGAGAATATAGAATGAAAAATATACTAGACAGTTGTATCTAGAAATATTAAAGTTGATTATATAACAATGTGTGTGCCAGTTCACGTATAAGTGGGATAGACACATGCAGGTATCTCCTTTTAATGTATTTTATTTAAATTATTTCCAAATTAACCAAAAAATAAAAAAAGATTGAAATTATAACTAGTGGTTTGCATTTCATAGAGATGAAACAGTTGCGATCTATCTGCAGTATTGAAGGAAAACTACACAATAAAAGTCTAGAGAAATAAGCTCATCCTCTTAAATGGGTTGGAAGAAACATTTCACTTCTTAGCATGATAAACTAAACTTGTGGAATGTGGAATGCACAGACATTGTTTGGTTAGCAACTTTCTCAATTGCAAGCTGCACCAACACAAATACAAAAAACACTTTCTTTCAACTAAATAAGTCTGGACCAAAATGCCAGTACTATATCTTAAAAAAATAACATTAGGTATTGTCTAAAAACTGTGAAAATTTAAAAGTGTCCACTGGACCTAAATATAATACCCCAGCTCAATTCTACCTAAGATATCAGAATACTTTGTCACCATAATGCATCCCTCTTTAGGGTTAAAACAAGGATAAGTACAAAATGAACAAAACTAAAAGTTCCCATGGAATTTGACAATTAAAAAAATACATTTGTATTACTTTAACAGAAAATATAGAACCATGATCAGTATAAAGAATAATCTTTCAATGTTTTCACTGTAGTGAATTCATTACATGGGAGACCAAGGCAACTAACCAGTACACAAGTATGTCTTGTACAAAAATTAACAAATCACACTAATTTATGCAACTTTATAAACAGAAACCATCAATGATTTACTTCTCTTTCTTAAAAATCAGCAAATAATTTATTTATTTTAATCTTCACACTCCAAGTACCACATATTTACTTACACGTGATATTTTAAAATTCAGGTACACAGTTCTGCTTCAAAGAAAATCAATTTAAATTTCTAACAAAGGACTGAATGGTAATAAAAAACCACCACAAAAAACGGCACAGGGGTACACAATAATCTGATGCGGAGTGATGTAACTTGCAAAGCTGATTTAAATAATTTAGATCATTTCCCTACATGTCTCAAGTATAATTGTGCCAGAAATAATGTGAAAATGTTTATGAGCTGGAATGGACAATGAGGAACTCATAGGATAATATGATGTGAGGCAGACATTGTTGAAGGATAATAAAGTACAGTACAGTATACTGTACAGTACTTATAAGGTACAGACAGGTGGAAAAAATCCTTACAAAGCCTGAAACAAAATCTTTTCTAAACCAACACTTTTCAAAAGCACTCGGTGAGCTAACATACAAAAAGGAGATCAATAAATCAACTCGTATCTTGAATATTGTACTTGATTCCTTCTCGTGTTCACCCTTTTCCAAGAGTTAAAGTTGTAACTTCTTGGTACCATGATCCTAAATTACTATTTTTGCCAATACAGTATGTCCTTTAATTAATTTATTTAAAATTAATTTGCCAACACCTCCCCTAATTGTTGTCTAATTATCTATATTTGTACTCACAAACCAGCAGCATGACTTGTCAAGAAGGGAATATTTATGAAATGAAGATGAAAATAGATGAACAAAAACACTAGTATTATTTTGAGTACATTTCATCAATTACTTTCCTTTCTTGCATGTTTTATGCATTTTTCTTTCTGTCATTTTACCATGTAATGAAACCCCTTAACATTTCCATAAGTTCTATTTATTCTGCAAAAAATAAATATTATTAGTAATCACTAATTTGGTTAAGTGATGTGGCTGTCAAATATGTTTCAAGAAATGCTTAAAATGTTTACAGGTTTTGAGAAGTCAAGGATTTTATGAGGCCATCCTTGCAAGAAAGTGTGTTTCAAGACTTTGAATCCTGAAGATGTATATAACCTAACGTGCAGAAAATTTTAATCTAAGCATCACTATCTTAAGGTACCATACAAAAATATGTTCAATGATTAATATACTGTACATAAACAAATCCATATACAACTTTTGAGCAGCCATCACATACAAAATACATAACAAAAATGCCATCAATACAAAAGGAGCACAGTAATATATTGAAAAACCCTTTTAATATATTACTGTTCAAAAACATTACAATTCTTAGTAAGCTATTAATAGTTCTTTACAAAACAAAATTGTTTATCCTGTAACAGATGTATAAGATTAACCTAATACCCAACTGCTAAATTACTTACAATGTACCGTTAGCAATGAAAAGTTTCTTTATTCAAGTGTAACTGACAAATGTGAATCTGAAAAACATAAAAGGAAAAATTATTACAATGTAACACAGTGGACAATTTGATTTAGTTGCAATATGTCACATGCTTTGGGATGCAAGAAGTATTGTACTGTACTTCAATACCATAACCCAGAAATGTTGTGTTAATTAGCACTGCATATCAAGATCTGCTTTGGTCCCTGTTTGTCCATTAATATTTTTCAGTCAAGTGGTCTTAAGAAAGGAGAAAGGGGCTACAATAAATCAAACTGCTTCTGGTGCAAAGGATGGCTACAAGAATTCAAACATATTCTGGTACAAATTGTGGTTACACAAGTCCAAACACCTTCCAATGAAGAGGGGGCTACAAAAATCTCAAACACCTTCTAGTGAGGAGAGCTCAAAACCCATTCTGATGGCAAGAGGACTAAAAAGAATCCAAACACCTTTCGATGAAGAGAGGCTACTGGGATCCAAATGGCTTATAACAGTTATAGGACTCTAAAGAGATTTTGCTTGGGAGAACAGCTATTCTTAATACATACAGGCACTGTCCTAATGCGTGTCCTTGTTCTATTGGAGTAGCCCGACTATTGGTTTTTCTATCTGGCACACCTCCCCCTTACCTCCTGGTGGCAAGTGGCTGTATTGCCCAAGCCCATCTTCCAAAGTGCCATCAACTCGAGCTTTGTTTTCATTTTCTGTGTGAATCAAAAGATTTTTCCACTCACATTCTTTGATAGTTTTCTGTAAACACTAAACATCTATGTGTTAATGAATTCTGAAGAGAAATTAAGAATTAATTAAGAAAGCAGAGACTGGCATTCCTAAAAGTTGTGCGCGTAATTACCTGTGTTATTACAGTATGAGCGCTATGTTCATGTGTCCTGTCTTCCCTATAATCTTTATCATGAAAAATCTATAAGCTTCTGAAGGATTTGGCATTCACCACCCTTTCAATGAAATTATTTGAACTGTCTATTACTCTAAAATAGTATCATCAGTAGCTATAGTGATGTGAGGTTGATAGAGCTTGGGCCTCACATGCATGGGGGTCTGCAGTTGAGTCTCCTAGAGCACAGGTGAATGAAATGGCCATTACTCTGTTTGCAAGAGAACTTTTTTTTATTTTTTGGTACATAGCTTTAATTATCTTGAATTCATGGACTTTTTTTTTTTTTATATTCATGATTTTGTAAGTGGTGATTATATTGTCGCTATTGCTTCATATTGCCTCTATTAAGCTTTGGTATATTTAATGCCTTCAGCCTCTCCTCATAGTTCTTATTTTTATGATATGAAAGACATTTCATAGCATATCTTTTCACATCCTCTACCTTACTGATGTGCTTTGTGAGATATGTACACCACGTAACTACTGCACATTCTAATTTTGGTCCCATGAATGTTGTGGACAAATTCTTTAGCATTTCACTGTCAATGAATTTAACACTTTGATGCTCTGAGCACACATGCGCCACACTACCCCGGGTGGGTTTGTGCATTCCGCAGGAGCGCGCAGTAATTCTGAAAAGGATATAATCTTTTCAACTTTGTTACCTCAATTCCCGTCCTAGATTTTTCAATTTGGTATCATTGTGTTCGCAATAGAATTCTCTACAGGACTAAAGGCATATCAAGTCCAAATGCCTAGTGTACTATCCGCAACAAACAAAGTGAGATCATGTTACCCGGGAGCGTGGCTCAAGAGCGATAAAATGTTTATACTCCCTTCACTTTGGTCACTTCAATTCTCATCCTAGGTCTTTTATTTTGGTATCATTGTAATCGCAATAGAATTCTCTACAGGACTAAAGGCATATAAAATCCAAATGCCCAGCGTACCATCCACAACAAACAGAGAAAGTGAGAGCGTGTTACCCGGGAGCACGCAAGACCGATAAAATCTATTTATATACTTATATCGGTATATTAGACCGATACTATTTATAGTCTCTTTTTGTGCTTCATGAGGTGCAGATTTTGTACTTGTGCAGCTGTGTATTATAATAATAGTCAAACACAGGCTGTGTAAATTGTTTTCAGCAAGTCCTTGTTCGAATTTGAAATGCCTTTCTTATGTTCCCCATGTCCAACCACTTGGGGTGGATTGTAGACCAACGGTCTTACATTATGTAAGGCAGAGTTCAATCACCTACCATCCAAGCCATTCCTTCTACCCATCAAATCCCAAATCTTTATTCTGATCTCTTCCAAGTGCTATATAGTTGTGATGGCTTGGCGTTTTCTGCTAATATTTCCCTTCTCTTCTCTAGCTTCCCAAGAGCAATTGATGCTGTCTATGCAAGTTTCTAGTGTTACTGCTGGGATTATGTACATTTCAAAGTCCTTTCCAAACTCTGTATAGTTGGTTTTTCCTTTATGGTGAAGATTCCTTCGAATCTTCTTGCATTACCTTGTACTTCTTGAGGTTAAATTCTAACATCCATATGTCTGCCCACTGCTGGAGTTTGTCAACGTCTTCCTTCAATACTGTGCAGTCCTCTCTGATTAATATGAAGAACATCAGTAGACCTAGAACTGATCCTCATGGCATCTTGCTTCCTATATCCAGCCTGACTTTTCCCCCGACTGTTCTTTATTTCCTGCTGGGTACTTCCTTACCCAGTTCAGTGTTTATATTATCCCAGCTTTCCTCTTCCTTTTATACACTAACCTTTTATGAGGAACAGCGTCAAGCTTTCTTTCTATATAATTGCTGTTAACCCTGCCTTCTTTCTCTTGTTGTATCAATCTATCATTGAATTTGATAATTTTTGCCAGACCACTTGCAACCTCTTAAGACCATGTTGCACCTCTATTACAAAGTTTGCACTCTCAGGACGTCAAGCAAGGTGTAGCTAGGGTTGTACACCTGTTGCCATCATTTGCATTTTCCCTCATTTAATTTCTTTCTTTCAAGCAGTAGGTTGTTTATTCTGTCTAGATTTTCTGGTCAGTTTTTCCTGGATTGTAAATAAATCTCTAATCCCTTTCTCCCCTTGACTCACTGATAGAACAAAATTCTGCCTACCGATTCCTGATAGGCTTGCGTATATCTCAAGAGGCCTGGTTTAACCTGAAGGGTTAGTGATACCAGTACTAAAATTCCAGGGAGTTACTGAGGGGACCTACCTACCCAGATATGTCAAAGCAATGAGGCATTTGCACCTGGAATACCATTAACAGGAATAAAAGGGGCAAGAATAGAATAATATATTCAATGGAGAAGTGTTTAAAGTAGAAATTAATATGGATACGACAATACAGTAATATAAACACAAGAAGCCTAGAAGCCACATGCTCAACTATCATACAGGTTTATTACTGACCTAAGGATACACCACGAAACAGAGATTCGTCAACTGAAGAAGCACGACGAGGAGATGGCATATCTTCCCAAATGCTATCCACGAAGTTCACCTGTAAAGCCACAATTAAATGAAAATTTTACACCTTTAATTCTCAAACCAATTTAAAACAGTCTTCAAAGAGGAAAGGTAACCCGAGTTTGATTTTCACATCAATAGAAATTACAGCCTTACAAGCATTAAATAATACACACAGCATCCATACAAATCTAAGTTGTTAATAACTAAATTATTAATTATTTACTCCAAAGTAATAAAAAAAACTTGATGTGTTTTGTGTTAAATGATAATAAAACAAAATTGAATAAACAAATCAATTCGATTTTAATCCATTTAGAACATAAAAGCTGAAACAAAGGACAAGTCCAGCTCATAGGAGTGTAAAGCCAATATTTAAACCGCAGTGTTTATAAAATTTGGGTACACGTGTAGCCTGTTAGTGCATCTCTCAACTGTCTTCTTGAGCTTTCCCTAGCCTGTGTACCCATCACCACGTGATCACCCATTCAGTAACCGGCCAAGAAAACTTGTGATTAACCCAAATAATAGGGATGTACAGTACACATCCAGCATTCAGTTCATGTGCGACCAATTTTGAGACCATTGGTAGCTATATTGCCTGGAACAGGTCCATACTATTGAGTAAGTGATGACAACATAACGGATCATGAAGGAAATAGATGAGGTGGTTATGAGAAGACATGTCAAGGTTAGAAACATAAATGAGGCACAGAGATAAGAAAGTACTCGTATACATATGAGGCAATGAGGTTGAATTTTTGGGGCAATGCATTGATATTTTCTTGCTTCTCCCCATGCATCCAAGAATAAAAACCAAACACCCATCTTCAGGTCTTGGGAACCCCACTGGCCATTAATTAAGATCTAATAATGGTTTCAATAAGCCTATTAGGTTTCCTCTGCTCAGCGGTATTGAGAGAACAGTTTTTCTATTTACTGTCAGGATTTTTTTTTTTTTTTTTTTAAATTTTACATTAGAAATATTTATGTATATTACCTTCCATAAGAAAAAAATCATACAAAATATTTGAAAGTACTGTACTGTACTAACTAAATTTTTGAGGTTACACTGCAAGAATATTTTTGAGTTTGTAAACCTCTTTTTACATGATCTTGGTCTTAGCATTTGCAGTTTTACCATTCATGAATGATGCCTGAAGATAACCTTACAAATAGCAAGAGTCTGCATTACTTATAAATGTTTATTTTTAATGATTAAATTGTTCTTATGTACAAATGGAGATATTATCACTACATTTGGTCTGTATTTGGGGAGAAAATTTATAATTTTTACATCGGGAGCAGATCATAAATGTTAAGAGTTAAGAAAACTATTTTTCTGTTTCTGCACATACCGGAGTTGCCAAGAGGACTTCTGCCTCCTCTCTAGTAAGTGGTCTAGCCCAGGCTTTCTGAACCTTTTTATTCTGGACCCAACTAGACATCTTCCTGGGGTTGAGATCCTCCATCTTCAAAAAGAACAAATAATACTGTAGTAAGTTGATAAAATTATTACAAAACTGTATTTGATTAAGAATGATTAGTTCAATTCATAACAAGTACTGGTTGATAATACAGTACCTTCTTTATATCATAATTTCTAAAATATGCAAAGTCTAGCATGAAATCCACATCTGGTAAACATAAGACGAGAATTCAGCAAATCCAATGATAAGCCACAAGCCAAGTACCAGAGGTAAGCTTAAGGACAGGCTAAAAGATCTAAATCTAACAACATTAAAAGAAAGAAGGACAAGAGATAATATTATCCTAGTATAAAAGTTAATGAGTGGAATAGACAATGTGGATAGAGACAGTTTTTCTTGGTGAGGGACAACAGCGCTATACAGTTGTAAGCTAGAAGCACAGATGAGCTCCATACAAGTTCGGTGTAAGTTTGTCTCAGTTGCCAAGTGTCCAGCTTCCCTTCCCTCAGTTTGAGCTAGGGTTTTCAATAATTTGTTTTGTCGGAAACAGAAAGCCTGTATATATACGTACTTCAGGTTCATGTCAAGGTTTCCCCAAGACTGAAGTACTGACCCCTCCCAGGATGCAACTCCACACAGTTGCCTAACTCCTGGGTATCTATTTACTGCTAACTGAACAAAGGCATTAGGTGAAAGGAAAGATGTCCAATGATATCCATTCCTCCTGGGAATAGACTTCTATCTCATCCCACACTGTCACTCACTGGAGCTTAGTTGCTTTACTATACCCTCACAACCAGTCCAATTTGGGTAAAATAAAAAATAGTTGGTGTAATTTAATTAAATAAGAGTACCTGTAGAAAATTTGTCCCACTGGTAATACTGTGTGATTTTTTCTGTGCCGACTCAACGTTCTCTTCCTCTCCAGTTTTATTCTTATCAAAGTTAGTTCCACTGCAACTTCGTAGTCTCTTCCCTGTCAAAATATAATGTATAGTGTACAATAATTTAGAATACAAATTTACAATCAGAATGTAATCACCACCGAAAACACGGGTGCTGGCTGGTGGCAACTCGGACACAGTGATACCCCAGGATGGATGGAGGTTGGGTTGGGTTGCTGTTTAACTAAACATTATTCTCTTGAATCCAGAGAATCAAATTTTCAACAGACATTAAAAGAAATGACTGCCTAATATCCAAGATTATCCCCCCCCCCCCCAAAGAGAATCTATTAACTAAAGTGTTACTCTGCTTGTGGAAAAAAAATCTGATTTTTTAATTATGCAAGATACTGTGTCTCTTGCATAATCAAATGCAAGTCATTTGGTGGATGGGCCAATGAGTGCGTTAGCACTAGATATGCAGCTTGCCGACTCATGGTGAAAGGGCGAGAGGGCTCGAATGATCAATTTGAATAATTTTTTTGTCCATAGTTTTACTTAACAGTCTATGTTATGTATTTTCTGTCAAGCAGCTTGATTTATGTACTTATAATTGACAAAAAACCAGTGTTGAACGTAATGAAACGCCATTTTCTGGGAGAGTCCTGGAGGCTCCCCGTAGCTTACCGGGTTGATATGTATTTATTAGACTGCGGCATCAGTCAATTCGATTGGAGTTCTATGCCTACCGGGGACCACGAGCCAGAACCTGGCCCCTCTCAGAAAGGCCCAAGGAACAATGGCCTATAGAAACCCCCGTGTGGTTGGAAGCATTCAATGTCTGCCATCGACTGTGGTTATGTAGCTCCCGGAGCTACTTAACCCCAGAAAAGTAAAAAGGGGGACTTACCCGGGAGGCAGCTGCCACTTGCACCTCAACTGGAAGTGGAGACAACTGGCTAATTTACAAATAACCCTAAATAATACTAAATAATAATAATCTAAATAATAACCCTGTGACTCAAAGCGACACGCCCAACTAGGGCCAGGAACATTAATAAGGTAACGGGCGACCAAGACCCTGTTTGACCTACAGAACCCTCGTGCCCGAATGTCTGCCCAAGACATTACCAAAAACGGCAGTTAAAGCAGCAAATTTGCGAACGTCATGGGCACGAGGGTAGACCGCAGACTGGCTGGACCGAATAACCCTGCGGACGACCTAGGAGACCCGAGCCCTGGAACAGGGAAGAAGGGAAACCGGATCAACCCAAAGCTTTTCCCCCGGTCACCGAGGCTGTGGCGCACAGATAGTGCCTAATTGCTGCAACCGGACACCACACGTGATGCACCCCCAGCCGAACCAACCGGGGGTGGTTCATCAACACCCCAAGGACCCCTCTGAAAACCGCCATCTCATTCTTCGCCAGAAAAGAAAGAGGATGGCTGTAAACAAACAAACCCACCACCAGGACCGAAAGAGCAGAAACCCCTGCGCTGGAGGAGAGCATGAAAGCCTTATCAAAACAATCCCAAACCGAAGAGACCAACACAAACCGAGGAGAAGAGAGAAAAGAGAGCATCTGGTCCAAGGACCAGGATGGCTCGAGTGGCGCATGAGCAAGCCGGAGGTGAAACAACACATGAGATAGCTTGAAAAATAGAGTTGAAGTAACATCCACCCTGAACGCAAGCAGAAGCAGCTCTGCCAGCATTGCACGATACGAGGCGATAGTATTCAGCATAAGATGAAAACCTGAAACATCCAAGAGAGAAAGGACAAAAAATCCGACTTGTGGAACCCCAAGCTGCAAGGGCAGTACTTACAGAGCACTTAGGGGAAGATGGCCCTAGGCACATGCAACCCCCAGTACTCAGTGAATTACTCCTGGCTCCCACACCACCACACAGCAGAACACCGCCGCCAAGGCACAGCACTGCAAAGAGACAGGAGCCAGAATCGAATGACTTCCACTAAACACATCAGCCTCAGAACTGAGGTTAGATGGCTGGCGCAGGGATCTGGGGCTCCCACTTTCCCCTCCTGGGGAGGGGGGAGCTGCGCAGACAGTGGCGTGGCGGCAGTTGTGACGTCATGCTTGTTCGTTTGTTTTCGGATTGATAGTTCCGGATAGACAGATAGATTGATAGATAGTTCTGCTTGATAGTTCAGCTTTTGGTAGCAATTTCTAACCAGGTGGGGTTTGTTTTGGGATGCCTACCTTTCTGGGTGCCTAACCCGGTCGATGGCAGACATGGAATGCTTCCAACCACATGGTGGCTTTTAATTGCTCCTCGTGCCTCTCTGAGGGGGCCCAGGTTCTGGCTCGTGGTCCTTGGTAGGCATAGAACTCCAATCGAATTGACTGATGCCTCGGTCTAATACATACATATCAGCCTGGTAAGCTCCTGAGAGTTGGAGGGGACTCTCCACAGTAACAGTGATTGAGTACTGTATACCTGTATAGGCCTGCAATGTATTACATACCCCTACACTATATACATTTAAACCTGTCCCTGGCACAGCTCAAAGGGTCTTACAACCCATCCTTTCTTGCTATTCTGTCTGGGAACGCTGTCCAAAAACAGATTCAAATACTGGCAGAAAAGACCAAATTGTGATTTGACAATTGCCGGCCACTGATACACAATACCACACTGCATAGAAAGCAACTAAAAACAATAGCAGAATTTTTTCATTGTTAACTCCATATTTATAGTATTTAAATAAAAAGTAGATAATAGCTAAAATCTGCAAGTGATATTAAATAACCATTAACAGTTAAAGGAAAAACTAATACTGTATACAAATTAAACTGAAATCTAAAAATAACAAAAATTGAATGAGGTGTTGGGTCAAAACTTTGATACCATATTAAAAATAAAAAGAGACAGCTTCCACCAAAGTGCTAGAGAGTTTATGAGAATAATTGCAAATATATGTTAGCAACCTCACTAGTTAGAAAGCACGTGGCAGTTTCATTTGTAATTAATAAACCAGTCAGGAAATTAAAATATGGTTCATACTAGGATTGTAAGTATCTGCAGAGTTACCAATAACTTCATTGGCTGTATTTTTCTTCACTTCAATATTAGGCACATCCACCTGACTGTTTTCCTTTGGGCTTAGAGCATTAGGTGATTCAATGTTCCCTCTATCTCGTTTTGAATTTGCCGACACTATGTGCCGACGGGATTCTTGGCTTCCCAGCACTTCTCCTTCAGAAACTGCACCCCTAAAAAAGATTTTTTTGTTTAAATAATTTATAAAATAATATCAATTTGCTAAACATTCTCCCTGTGCTTACCTATCAGTGACTACAGAGAAATAAGATCCAGCTTTTTATGCCCCGCCTCCTAGCCATTTATACCTGGCACACTAATTACCTCTCTCAACATTAACCTTTCATCACACGTTTCTAAAAGCTGTGGATGAAATTGACTTCAACAACTTCTTTTACTGCATTCCACTTGCCGACCACCAGGAAACAGAACGGTAACTTACATCTCTTCGACTCACCTGTGTGGCCTGTTCCCACTGATGTTCTCCTGTTCTTCCTCTATCTTATTTAAATAGGCTTGCTTTATCTATTTCCCTCAAGAACTTCTACATCGTTTTCATAGTCCCTCTGTTTCTCTTTTCTTATAAAGTTGCGAGGCGCGAGTTCACTCAACCTGTCACAATAGCCTCTAAATTCTGGTACTAATCTAACTGCAAACCTCTTAACTTTCTCAAGTTTTTGTTTATGCTTCACAAGGTGCAAGTTCCAAGCTAGTGTTGTATACAGTATTCATGTAAAGGTCTCGCATAGATTGTTTAGATTCTTAAATGATGTTCTTATGTTTGCTAACTTTCCATATGCTGCTGATGTTATCCTATAACCACGAGCTTCTGGTGTTAGTGTTGGGATTATGTCTACTCCCAGGTCTTTTGCCCTTTAACATTAATAATCTGCTAAATTGTATAACACAGGAACTGTGTTGGATGTAGCCATCACCAGACACTCATTGGAATCACACAACATTCTTTCAATAATGCTCCCATACTTTATTTTGGTTAAGTTACATTTAAATGTAGGTACCTTGACTCTCTTTACAAAAGACATTAAAAGGAATAATAATTAAACAAGAGTTTCCAATATACTGACTACCTTACCTAGAAAGGTACAAGTCTCTCCCATTCCTATTACAAAAAACCAGCGTTGAATGTAATGAAACGCCATTTTCCGAGTGAGTCCCGGAGGCTCCCCGGAGCTATCCATGGCTGATATGGATACCCTAACTATTTTGCATCAGTCGATGTGGGTGGAGTTCTAGGCCTACCGGGAACCACGAGCCAGAACCTGGCCCCCTCAGAGAGGCACCGGAAGCAATGGCCCATAGAAATGCACATGTGATTTGGAGCATTCTATATCTGCCATCGACCGGGACAGGCACAAAGAAAGGTAAGCGCCACAAAACAAACCCCTATTCTGGTTAACAACAAAAATCTACAAACGAGTGGACAGAACTCCCCCAGGAAAACGAACTAACAAGCATGACGTCACACGAGCCGCATCGCATGTCTGCGCAGCTCCCTCCCTCACCGGGAGGGGGAAGGGGGAGCCCCAGACCTCCGCGCCGGCGATCCCCGCACCAGTTCTGAGGCTGGATATCAAAACCGCGAAAAAACCCGCCGACTGGAGGGCGGGAGGGTGCCGGGGAGCCTCTGGGACTCACCCAGAAAATGGCGTTTCATTACATTCAACGCTGGTTTTCTGGGGGGAGCCCCTACGGCTCCCCGGAGTTACAGTACTTCACCAAAGACTACCTAAGAAAACAAGGGGACATACCCGGGAGGCGGTCGGTGAACCACTCCTCAACACGAAGTCAAGACAACAACCCAAGGACCCCTCCGGAAAGCAGCAGACACATCATTCGCCAGAAAAAAAAAGGTAGAACGGCCGCAGACGAAGAAACCTATGACCATGACCATAGGAGCCAAAAACCACTGCGCCTGAGAAGAGCAAGAAGCTCTGCCACACGACCCCCAGAGGCCAACGCCAACATAAAAAGAAAGCCGAGGCAAAGCAAACCTGACTGCAAGGAGCCACAACCACCAAGGAGAAGAAAAACAGGAGAGCACCCTGTCCAAAGACCAGGACGACACAGGCAGTGCATAAGCAGGCCGGAGGTGAAACAACGCACGATACAGCCTGCGAAAACAGCGCAGAAGGAATATCGATACCGAAAGCTAGCAGCAGAAACCAAGGTGCCAGACCCAGGAACGACCCCAAGCGCCTCTACATCCTCCGCAAGCCAATCCTATGACAGCCCCAGGAGGGAAAAGAAAAACGCAGAACCAAAACGAAAATGCCACAAGCATGCAAGTCCACCGCCACAAGTGCAGCTGACAGGGAAGGAACCCACATAAGGAGCCGCCCTGCACCAACATCCCGCAGAAGGGCAGGAGCGAAAAGACTCATTAAAAGGAGCAAAATCGCCCCCGGGAAAACAAGTAGCGCCGAGACAGCGCGAAGAGAAGAGATAAGCACAAAAGAACAAGAAGGCCAAACACCCAGAAGCTGCCAGGAAGAGGACCCACAAGCCCTAGAAAGGACCGGAGGGAAGCTCAACCGAATGACGACAGACGTACCAGAAAACGGGAAGGAGCAAAACCGTCCCGAACCTTCGAGAACAAAAAGAAGCAGACACAAAGGACAAAGGCACAAAAACCCCGTCGCACCCGAGACCAAAAGTCATGCAGTAACTCCAAGAAGAGGGGGACATGACGGAGAAGGCCCGTCCCGGAGAAAAGGGGCAAAGACTAGAAAAGCACCCACCGACAGGACGGAAACAACGGGCACAATGGACAAGGAAACCGAGCCCAGGGAGGGGCCGACGCCCACAAAGCACATGCGGAGAGGGGGAACGGAAAAACCCCACACCACAAAACTGCAAGCCCCGCCCAGAGGGGTAGAAACACCCCAGCGGGGACCAACGGGGCCTGAGGCCCCTCACGTTAGCCCCACCCCAGCAGGCCCCGGGGCCGAGCTGTCCCTTCAAAGCCCCAGCGTCAAGAAAAACCCCGGGGCAGCCGTGAAAAACATGAAGGAAGGGAGCCCACTAGGCTCTGGAACTCGAACCGAAACCGGAGGATAGGCGAGGGGTGAGACGAAGACCCCAAGCACATCCCCAGCCAACACAATGGGGCGAGGACAAGACAGAGAATCCAAGGAACATGGAAAAACCAGGCCCGGCACAGCAAGACCGGCAAGGAAGGAGAGCCCCAGAGGGAGCACGGAAGGGCCGAACATAACGCCACAACCAACCCCAACACGCAGCTGCAGTACCAAAACCGCAGCAAAATGTCACCACACTCCCCGAGGAAGCGACAGAAGAAGATAGATAAATCGTACACGAGTTGCACACAAGGGGACACAGGCGGAAACCGAGCACCCAACTGAGCCACAGGGACGGTAGAAGAAACGTGTGCAGTGTAACAGGCAAACAAAGGAACACATTAGGCAGCCCAACATGAGCTGACCCCATACACAGCTCCAAGAGCAGAGACGAGAGCGCCCAAGAAGCACAGAATCCGCCCGACAGGCAAACGACAGGAGAGAGGCGGAAGCAAAGAGCCAGAACCCAACCTGCAAGCACAAGGAGGCGAACACAAAACCTCCGACACAGGAAAACGTACTACCAAACAGGCACCCCCACCGTTGCACTGCGGAACAAGGTGGAGGCGGGGCCCCGAACTCAAGCAAGGTTAGACAAGCATAGGAGAGGGGCAAGAGGAGTACAAGGCAGGAGCCGCCTCGGAAGGGCCAAGAGGCCACCCGCAGACACCGGTGAACCAAGGAAGGAATCAGGTGGAGAGAACAAGAGCTGCCCAGTATGGGCTAATAGCCTTGCAGTAGGCACCTCGGGTGATACGGTCCACGTTCTCAAGTACTTATATACACCCATTCCTACTCCCAAAAACAAAAACAGCGTCAGGACGAAGGAGACGCCAAACCGCACCAACTCACCTGCAGAACAAAGGCGCTGAAGGGCCATGACGCAAGCTTTCGAGTCCGTATGCACCGGAGGCGGCCAGGGCGCCCATGCTGGAGGAGGGGAGCAGCGAAGGAGGCTCCCCACCCTAGAACGCAGGGAAAAACCTCGTGACTTTCCCCACAGCGGCACCCCAGAACACCCCCAAAGCAACGGGGCATGGATTGGATTAAGAAAAGAGCGAGAGGCGAAGCCCCCCCCCCCAAGAGAGAAAATGGATGCAGAACACGTGTGCACACCGCCCGGAACCAAAACAAACTCCCACGGCGCATGCGCAGGACGCGAAAGTAGCCCAACCAGGCGAGAAGTAGCCCAACCAGGCGAGAAGTAGCCCAACCAGGCGAGAAGTAGCCCAACCAGGCGAGAAGTAGCCCAACCTTGCGAGAAGTAGCCCAACCAGGCGAGAAGTAGCCCAACCAGGCGAGAAGTAGCAAAGAAAATATTTGCAATGTTTTCAAAGTGTAGGCACCATAGTAGTATCAGGAACCTGTCTCGTAACATGTACTTGTTGAACACAGGTGTTGGAACAGTGCATTCTTTGTTCCAATAATCCTGCATGATGTGCTTCACCAAATGTTTAATGAGCATACACAAAGCAAAGAAGACATACAACTTGGCCACGATCATGTCCTTCCAACGTAACATACGTGAAGCAGGTTGCTCTGCATATCTGTTGGTTTCAGCAACAAGAAGTTGCATGAACGGCTCATCAAAATATGCAATAATCACTTTCCGTCACGTCGTCACCTGTGTATGGGAACGTGGGTGCAACCCCCACATCACTATCATCAAATTGAGGTTTGTGTGGTACAAAAATATCAGTCCTCCCACACAATTTCAGCCGTGCTCCTTGGAGCACCTCCACGCACGACTCCACTACGGGTCCGTTTTCTTGCACTAAATCTCCATTGGAAATGAGTTGAAGATTTTCAATCTTGTCTACTAGTAGGGTGAGGAGGGAAAGTAGAGGTAGAGGCAACACTGTCGTGTTGTCATGAGGGGAGACATGACTTCGCTTGGCAAGGCGTCCTGCTGAGACAGCTGATCTGCACCCAATAACACTGCAACGGTAGCCACTAACACTTGGCTCATCTATGCTACTTGTATTAGAAGCAGCGTCACTGAACACAGAAAATGATTCAACAATATCACTTTCATCAAAAATGAGAGATGGAGGAAGTGGTGGGGATAATACTGGCAAGGGCAATGACCTATGACACACAACTATGTGTACTGCTTGCCCTGAACGAGACGCGATCACTGTATCGTCATCATCTGTGTCTGTAACACATCTATCGAACTCGTGTTAGAGTTCTATCATTCCTTGGGTCATCAATATCACATCCTTCTTCCTCAAACAATATTGTGTTTATCCCCTGGAGAAAGCAGTCTTTCAACAGCACGTCCCACAGGTGATTGAGAACTGGAGGGGCGTGCGTTAGCTATGGTTGCTCGATCAGAACCGAGGCTACCTTCGGGCCTGGGGCATTCTGGGATTTTTTTAAAAATGGCCACCGCTCACGAAAGGCCTTAGGTGTCCATCTCGTACACAACCTACCGCACGTGCGTTTTGAATGGGTACGAAATATTAAAAAAAGTTTTTTCAGCTTGCTCAGTTTCCAACCGAGTTTTCTCAGTCGGCACAGTCCAGTGGTTAAATGATTTGGCTAATTGGAATTCCCTACATTGTGGTGCACATGGCAAAAAAATTGTCCACAAAACTAATGAAAAAAAATTGAATTTGCAATTCAAAACACAAGAGGTAATCGCAAGTAGTGATTGGAGCCATTTAAGGGTAAAGGGAATATGGTCCCATAAACACTCAGAACAACAACTGTGGTATTGCTTCCCAACTCACCTTAATCTCAAACATCAATTATACAAATTCTTCTTTTATAAGTCACACTTCAAGCACATAACCATTCACAAAGTTGAGAGGCGGAACACAAGAGCTGAGTTTTCCTTCAAACAAGCACAAATAGGTAAATACAAAACAACAGCAAGGAGGAGTAAGGGTCATAAGAAAAGCTATTACAACTTGTTAAAATAAAATTCTATGGCTGGTCTTCATTTTGGGTTTAAGTTTTATTCAACTGGCATAATGGCTCCAAGCAAGCCCACATAGATTCAATTTATATATAACATAGGTTCATACAGCATAAGTACACAAATGGCTTGTATTATACATCCAAAATTATAAAAGTATTTCTTACTGTGACACAGTAGGTGAATCTGTAAATTGAAGTTCTGATGACAACACAAAACGAGATTCCTTTGGATGAAGCATAGGAGAACCATCTCCAGCATTTGACATCACAGCAGACACATCCTGAACAATTTATAAAGAAGAATTTTCAATAATTAGCCAGTTTTGATGAGGGATAGAAATAATACTTAAAAATGTAAGAAACAGGAGTCACCGCAACGAGCCATTTGGCCCATTCTGGATGCTATAATAGCTTAAAGGAACTTTCCCACTACAGTATTGACATCAGACAATACAGATGATAGGTCACAGCACTGGATCTGTTCCACATCTTTAATATCGAGACGACATTGGCCACCCTCCAGATAGTAGAGACAATTTTTGTGTCGAATGATTTATTGAATACTGGAAGGAATACCTAGGTTTGTCTGTGTGTATCTGATTATTTCTCTCTCTGTTGTGTGTAGGTGGACATAGGTATGTTTTGTGAAGGAAGATATGGACATAGGTATGTTACGAGTGTGCACTTAGGTTTCAATGTGGATATGTATGTGGGGGGAGTTTAAGTGTGTGGGAGTGTGTGTGTAGGCAGAGGGTGGTTGTGACTCGGCATGGCTGTAAACACATTCATGATACGGAGTGGTTTGGAAGACTGACACTTTATGGAGGCAACAGGCAGGCAGATGTTGCAGATGGGGAAACCAGGCAATGGGTGGGTCCTGGGAAAGGGGATCCCCTGCCACTTGCATATATTAGCAAGTTATACACAAAGTAAGAAGAAACAGAATGGAAGAAAAAATATAAGTACTGTAATCCCAGATCCAGTTGATGGCACTGGTTCCCATTGGTACTGTGTTAACTGCACTCGTTTCCCCTTTGCCTTCTCCAACCCAACCAAATTGGGCACGTATCCCACAGGAATCAGGGTGCAAGGTTAGGCAAGGCTAGCCTTAAGTGTCTCATCTCCAACCTTGGACAGATATACATTCAAATTTATAGATATACAGTAGATTCTTATCAGTTAATCACAAGTTTCTCTCTCTGCACTCCCAGGACTGTTGAGCTCTTCATCTAGACCTGGCAGCATATTTCTTTACTAGCTGTTTCTTAACTAGTGAACAACACACAGGTAAGACATTAAGAAGACAACAAATACTAACCAAGTTTTCAACCACAATCTTTTTGTGGATAGGTGTACTAGTCACCAGAATGTTACCAATTCTAGGGTAACTGTGACAATGACCATCAGAGTGGTGATGCCTTGTATGATGATGGTGGTGGTGGTGGTGGTGATGGTGATGTCTATGTTTGTGATGGTGACTTGGGTCACTTGCAGGAAGAGGGCTGATTCCACTTATTACAGTCCAGTTGCTGGAGCTACTGCCCACACTTGAGACAGTAAGATTTACTTCAGGCTTGACCATCTTGTTCTCATTATTTGGTGGCGTGCCATTTCTTGTACTGGAGGTAACTTCTGAAAACTAAGAAAAAAGTTTTTAGTGACACTTTTAATTTCTGTGTATAATTATGTAAACAAAATTAAATCATCTACAAATACAGTGGAACCTCGAGTGACAAGCGGCTCCAGTTACGAGTATTTCGGGTAATGAGCAAGCCACTCTCAGAAAATGTCTCGACTGACGAGCTTTCACTCTATTAACGAGTGTTCCCGCTGGCTCTCTGACACCTCCAATGAGTTTTTTTTTTTTTGTTTTGCAAGATGAGTTTTCCACATGATGAGCTCGGTGCAGGAATGGATTAAACTTGTTAATCGAGGCACCACTGTATTGTATCTATTTTTTTCATGGTATGAATATATGAAAAGCACTTCTTATTACAAATGTAACAAAAATAGAGAAACCCCCTAGAAGAAAATGCTCCAAAAAATTCTTTACAAGAAAAAAGTATAATTATGGTTAGCCGCTATATTTGAACAAATACATGCTTTAATAATAAACAAGGCCTGATTGTGTGCATTACTTGGACCAAAAATTCCATTAGAACAGACCTATTTTTTTTTCCCCACCCCAAATTTCTTTTTAATTTGTTATACAGCATTGAACATTTGGGGAAAGCAGGTCTTTTTTTTAACAGAAATGTAATAAAAAATTAAAATTTAAAATATTTGGGAGGCAAATGGGAGGGACATTTGACAAGCCACTGGCTTCCTGTCCTTGTCGAGGCCACTAGTATTAGTTGCCCTCAAATAAATAACTCAGGTAAAAAAAGTTAGAAAAAAAATAGTGTCACAGCAAAAGGGTTAAACATCATTACATTAGACAACAAGATACAATCACTTAACCAACGAGAGAGAGAGAGACAGAGAAAAACAAACGAATCTTTGAAGCAGCCACTCTCATACACAATTTTATGAAAATTCAGTTTAAATTATCTTTTATCCCCAGCTCTTGGGGCCATCAAGTGGCAGGTAATACTGCACTGCACATCATAGTGTGGTACCAAACCACATTAAACAGAGTGCACCAAGTTTTAAGGTATCGTTACCAAATGATTACAAATAATTCGGTGCTCAGTACTGCATCAAATAGAAAAATCACTCATCACACAATTATTTTATGCTTTATATCGACTATTATTCATGCATATTCTCTCGGCAATGTTTACATGCAGAGTTAAAAACAAGACCGTGTTGTAATGATACTACATACTGTAGTCATAGCATTTGGCTAGACCAGCTTCAAAACAATGTTAAACCTAATAACACATTACATAATAATGAATTGTTTGATCATTTACAATATGGCATATATGAGATTTAATATAAATTTGAGGAAAGGTTACTAGAAGTAGCTAATAAAAAGTTCAGTATATTGGTTATAATTCTGCATAATAATGTATGAAACTTTGCATAAACAGTTATTTTCCACCACTTTGCAACAAATGATGTGTTAATATGTATGAGCATGTATTTAAATATATTTGCATATACTGTACATTCATACATATATATATGCACACATGGCTAGAGATTCACAGTAAAAGTGTGGAACAAAACATACCAGGTTTTTTTTTTCACTGTAACTTCCACATCAATAAAGCAAAAAATTAATGAGAAAATATTAATGGTACAGTATGTGATTGGAAACTTACTTACAGTAAGTACGTAAACTTATGTACGTAAAGGTACGTAAAAGGTAAACTTACTTACAGTAAGTTTACCAGTCTCCGTGGTGCAGTGGTAAGACAATCGCCTGGCATTCTGCGAGCGTTTTGTCATGGGTTCGTATCCTGGCCGGGGAGGATTTACTGGGCGCAAATCCTTAACTGTAGCCTCTGTTTAACTCAACAGTAAAATGAATACTTGGTTGTAAAACAATTCTTCGCGGCGGGGATCTTATTCCAGGGACCTGCCCGAAACGCTACGCATACTAGTGGCTGTACAAGAATGTAACAACTCTTGTATATATCTCAAAAAAAAAAAAAGTAAGTACTTATTTACAGACTGAAACTGTACTTAAGAGTATAAATTGCCTGTATTGAAATCTAAGCTAAATTAAGAAATCTAAGGTTATCCTTGATATTAATGAACCTGCATCATGACAGACTGTCATCTATGACATCAATAAACACCTGTGACAAATTAACCTGCCTGGATCTATAGTTCACAAAGCTTCACTCATTCTCAAGAGCTCCATCGGGGAAAAGCCCCAAAAGTAGTTTCTCCAGGAAGCTCAATCCCCTCATTACACCTCACTCTTTCAAGCTGTGAACATTAAATTTCATCGTGATGTCCCATAACACACGTGAAAAAGTGTGTCAGCAATATATCTATGATAAACATACTCAACTGACGACAGTCACTTACACTATTACGTGCCTCCTTAGCACAGATGGGAGAAGAAGCTTGCACAGGGGACAGTTCCTCTATACAAGGCTTTATATCTAAATCTTCCTTTGTGATAATATTTCTTGACTCGAAGGATATCTGTGGCACTAGTTCAAGTTTCAGGTCATCATCAGGATCAAGTTTACAGCCATCAGGTGAACAAATCATTTTTGGAAGATCAACAACGACCTCAACAATTTCTTTATCATAAGCCTCTTCTATTGGAGATGATTCAATGGTTTGACTCATGAGCTGAAATCATCAGGGTTCATTATCAATGATAAATTAAAATTAATTAGAAAAGAAATTAATTTAAATCTATAATTCAATATATTATAAATATTGACAAGTCTCTCTATATAAAGTATATTACTAATTTTGGTAAACAACAGTACAATGCTTCATATAAAACTCAAGATTGTGCATAATTTCCAATACCCGATATTCAGTTTTATGTTTGAGGCATTGCAATCACTAGTAATTTAGGTGACCACACATGGCATCGCCTCCAAATACAGTACTGTACTTGAAACACTGACAACCTTTGTTTATAAATGTTACCTGCAGACCCATAGCCCGTGTTACTTGGAACTTTTTGTTCCAGGTAGCGAATCTTTAACAACAACAAACAACCTGCAGACACACGTCAAGCTCAAGTTGAAAAACACTACATGCTGTTTGCCAATCATATAATCACCCCTGCTTTGCACTATCAAAAAGTACAGTATACAAAAAGATACAGAAAACTGCCCCCTAAAAATATAATCAGGAAAATATTAGACGCATAAAAATCAAGAGTATATAATAGACATAATAATACAGAATTAAGAAAAAATTAGAGGGAACATTGGTATGGACAAAGAACACAAAGTGCTGATAATAAGGTAGAGAAATACAAATATGAGTTCAGATTTAAATAGATTAGAAAATCTTTGGAAAAGGGAGGTGGAATTGTACCAGTGTCCTGGGGCCATACTAGCTGCATTCCTTACCCACAGACCATAGTATCAAATCACTTTATTGTGATTTCATTTTGTAGTAGATAACATTTTTTATGTACTGTAAGTAATTATCAAGTTTCATCAGGAAGGATTTTGTCAAATCTCTGATAAAGCCTTAACCGGCAAAAGTTATATACTTTTGCTATGCTTGCTTATGGATATGGGAGTACCCCCTACAGACCAGTGTTCCCAGGTGCACACAAAAGTTTTTTATGCTGAATGAAGTTGGGCCTTCCAGATCGTTCGGTCGGAGCCGTCACCACCTGATCTGTATACAGTACAAGGCTTCGAACGTGCTTTGGTTAGCAGACCAATTAGAGACTAGGCATTCATAGCTAGTTGATTAGACACTTAGAATAGCAAGTGTTGAGACTGCATACAGTAGAACTAGGAAAAGATATGATTGTCTAAACTGTACACATCATCAGACACACCCTCTGTAGAAGGGTGTGTCTGTATTTTGGTAACAACTATTTTCATGGGCTGTTACACTCCATTTTGCTGTTAGTTTAGATTAATCTCAAATTGTTTGATCCCCTGACTGTTACTTATCTTTTGTTTCCTTGCATTATAGCCAGATTGTCACATTCCCTTAATTTAAGGAAAAATAAGAACTACAGTACTGTATTGTTTTTAATGATTGTTCTTATACTTTCCTCTTTTCCTGCACTGTGCCTACTGTGCTATCTAGGATGTTTGTTACACAAGACTGAAGAACTGATTAATAGATGCAGGTAACACCCTCTAAAGTATACCTCTCTCATGGTCTTTCTCTCTCTCTCTCTCTCTCTCTCTCTACAAGTACATTTTATAGAAATACAAAAAAAAAAATTGGCTAACCTTCACTTGAGACAAGATAGGAGATGACAAAGGCGAGTCACTTGCTGAGGAACAAGATGTACAATCACTACAGTGGGATGATGAAGACGACTCTGAACAAGGGGAACCAACAGGAGTAGGTAACTCTTCTGTCTTGGGTATGAACACTTTGTCACTTGTGAATGCATGTGGAGTGCCTGAATATCTTGTCTTCTGGCTGGGATCTATTTCCTGATTAAAACATGATGTATCACATTTAGCCTCAAAATTTCCCTTAATAGCAGACTTCAAGCTTGTAGATGAATCACACACTGAAGATTCACTTACCAATTTCTTGAGATTCGTGTCATGTTTATGATCTTGATCTTCACCAAAGACTTCATCTTTATTTTCTAGGGATACAGACCAATAATGGATTATCAAACATTAAACAATATTAGTTTGGTGAAAGATATTCTTCAAGCAAGTGACAAGCAACTTTCTGAACAAGTTATTCAGCTGCTCGTAAGGCATGGTGATACACTAAGCCTCAAAAGATCATAACACAGTAAAGCAGGGGATAACGAGGCACCGATGCTCTGAGTTTAAGTCTAAGACATCCTTGCAGGACTACTACTGGTGACTGGAGTCACTGAAAAATAGGTCTATCTGGCCAGGTTAACAGAACTCGGGAGTGTTTGTCTGTAAGAACAGAGAATTTGAGCTCCTAATGATGTACATTCATGTTTGCCAATGAGAAGAAAATAACTAACAGCCAATCCAAACAGTCAACTGGTACTCATCATTCACACCAGGAGGAAACACTGCTGCAAGGAAGGCTCTGCCTGTTCCCAACAGCCTCATACACATACTGAACTTGTATAAAGCAAACAACCACAAGCATATTACCAAAGTGTAAGCCAGATAGGCATGCTTGTGAGCAGCAGAATTACTTATTCACCAGTCTCAAAATATCTGTAATCCTATTTAAATAATGCTATTATTTAAAGTCCATTTTCTGGATGCTCTGTTAAAAAAAATAATAATAATAATAATAATACATTAAAAATATATAAAACTGTGTCCTATGGATATGGATGCCAATGCCTGTTTAGGCGCACACACATATATAAGAGAGGAATAGGAAACAACAAGTTATAGTTACCAGTGGAGCATGATGATTCCGATGGCGCAGAGAGACTGACTTCCTGTGAAAAGAGGTATCTGCAGGATGACCTCTCTGTTGCTGGGGTAACAGAATCCCTTCGGCCTTTAGCAGGGCGACTATATACGTGAGAATGTAATTGGTTAAAAACTGTAATACATATAGTGGTACAGCATTCAATGTTGCTGTACTGTTGCTAGAACTACAGATTCCATAATTCAATAGTCTATGCATGTCATCATTATCACCATTTTATTGTATCTATTATTTTTCTAGTATTTTCTCAATTTTGCTAGCTTACTTCTGTTAATATTAAGTGTTCATCCTTTCATACCTTTAAATAACGTTTTACCTAAAATTTTAAGTTTTGTCCAAAACGCTTTGCGTAATAGTGGCTCCATTAGTATGTGTAATTCTTGTCCCTACACTTGTACATTATTCTTATGTTCTCTCGTGTTCTTTGTACACACATTCTTCTGAATACGAATTATAATTCAATATAATAAAGCCATTCTTAGGGCAGAATTTATGAGATAGAATTTATGACAATTCCTTTTAATTATATAGTACAAAAATTAACATTGCAATGTTCAGGATATTTTATAAAAAAATTATAATGTGAGGACAAAATTACCAGTACAACTCGCTCCACAAGAATTTATAAAATGTAATGCATTGTAATTTCTCGTGCACGATCAAGTATTTTCTACATGAAATTAATGTTATAAATGTAAATTTTTGGCAAAAGAAAAAATTTGCATCAGTGGCAGTAAATAAGCATTGTAAGGTATGCTGCTTGAAATGCAGTAACACAGAAGATGGCAACATTTCTGATGCATAACACTTTATACTTTTTGAAACATTTGTATCAAAGTATATACTTATAAGAAAAGGAATGACCCATCATGTTCTATCTTAGTACTGCTTTATACCAGAACTGTAAACTGTGTTAAATTATAATCCCACTTCAATATTGTACATCCATCAATAATGTAGTCTTAATCTTACAATATTGACAAAGCTCTCCACCCTTTCCTCAAGTAAAGCATGTCCTAACTCTTCTACTAGTAGGCATAAATAAATGTCTCTGACTGGAGTAAATCACTTTATGTACATGTACTCTTGAAGAGGCCTCTTGACTGGTACTTAAATACCCTTTGCTGGTACAGTATTTTCATTACTTTATCAAAATACTGCTAAAATACTGGTCTGCAGGATCAGACCATGGGTATACAATTACTATATTGTACCGAGTATGCTCTAATTACAAAGTGTAATTATTTAAGTGTTAAGTACAGGATGAGAGGCATGCTCGTGTTGTCATCTTCCCAGTACTTTTTATCACGTCGTTTTGAGACTACTGATTATTTTTGCATCTACACTTAGCATGTTCCAACCGTCTACCACTCTGCTTCCAAATGCGAACTTTCAAATATTTTTTTTTTCAGTTCTGGAAGCCATTTTGTAGCATGCCTTTGCACCTTTTCCAGTTTAGTGATGTGCTTCTTGAGATAACGACACGATACAGCTGCTGCATATCCCAATTCTCACAAAAGTCATCAACAGTTTCTTTAACATTTCACCATCCATGTATTTAAAAGCAATTCTGAAGTTGGAGATCATATGCTTCTTGCACAATGTTCTTTTGTGTGTTTCTCTGGTGACAGTCTACTATCCAAAACCACCCCCTAAATTTCTTTCTTTGTCAGTTCTAAAATGCCTTTCCATATAATTTGTATGTTGTGTGTGTGTGTGTGTGTGTGTGTGTGGTCAGTTTCCTCCTATTCCCCAATCCAAAACATGTAATTTCTTTACATTGAATTCCATTTGCCAAGTTTTGCTCCATGCACTTATTTTGTCCAGATCATCTTGTCGAGCCTGGCCTCAGGAAAGGAAGGTTTGGAGAGTAGAACTATCCCTGAAACACACACTCCTGGAAAGGGGATAACAATCTTCTAAGTCTCTTGCCTTCCCTAGTAGCTTTGCATCATCAGCAAACATGTTCATGTAGTTCTGTATTCCATCTGGTAGATCATTTATATAGACAATGAACATTACTGGCACAAAAACTGAACCCTCTAGTACTCTGCTGGTAACACTCCTCCAGTCTGATGCATTGCCTCTGATTTCCATCCTCATCTTTCTGTCAGCCAGAAAATTTTTCAGCAATATCAGCAATCTGCCTGTGCCTCATCCAGCATGTTCCACTTTCCAGAATAACCATTTGAATGAGACTCAAGTGTTTTTTTGTTTAGGTCCAGATAAACACAGTCAACCCAACCATCTCTTTCCGATCCTCTCGAACGTAGGTTCGAACCCTTGTCACGGCCCTTGTCAATTTCTTCATCTCTTTCCAATAGAATCTATGTGGCTCCATCATAAAAACTAAGTTTATTTGTTACACATGATCTTCCTGTTTAAAAGCTATACTGCCAGTCTTTTATTGAAAACCATGGTGTTTCTCCCTCATTTGGCAGCAAATCTGGGAACATCTGCAGCATTACATTCATTACAATGAATTAAATTCCTTACATCAATCTTAAATCTGTAACTCTACCTAAACTGAAAACAGAATTATTTGAGTTACCTTAACAATGGCCAAAGGAAATGTAAACATACCCTGGGCAGTCTAAAGAAGTGATTACTCTCTGATGAGGAGTTGTAAGATCCATCATCTCGCTGCTTACTGTATAAGACAAACAATTATAATTGATAACAAAACATGCACTTTATAAAATGCTACTGAAAATGTCATTATAATTTATATATTATATCACCATATATCACCTACACAGTCATGCACCCACCATGTCACTAATGCATTACATTAATATGAAACTGAATTTATCAAACTAACACCCACAATCAGCTTGATACAGTACTACTGTACTCTGAAATCTAGATATTTGAGTTGTAATTGTAAATAACCATTCAGAATTTAATCAGATATTTTCATGTAACGGTGCAAGTAAAATTTGCATATTTTACTAAATATAAATGACTAAAACATTACATTACAACAACCAAAAATACATAATGTCTCATGAGAAATGCTACTTATGTACATAAAAATCATGAGGAAGAGAACACTGCTCATGGTCATTACCATGTTATGGTCATAATCCCCTCATGGTCATTACCATGTTATGGCCATAATCCCCTCATGGTCGTTACCATGTTATGGGCATAATCCCCTCATGGTCATTACCATGTTATGGCCATAAACCCCTCATGGTCATTACCATGTTATGGCCATAATCCCCTCATGGTCATTACCATGTTATGGCCATAATGACCTCATGGTCATTACCATGTTATGGCGATAATGACTTCATGGTCATTACCATGTTATGGCCATAATCCACTTATGGTCATTACCATGTTATGGCCATAATCCACTTATGGTCATTACCATGTTATGGCCATAATCCACTCATGGTCATTACCATGTTATGGCCATAATCCCCTCATGGTCATTACCATGTTATGGCCATAATCCCCTCATGGTCATTACCATGTTATGGCCATAATGACCTCATGGTCATTACCATGTTATGGCCATAATCCACTCATGGTCATTACCATGTTATGGCCATAATCCCCTCATGGTCATTACCATGTTATGGCCATAATCCCCTCATGGTCATTACCATGTTATGGCCATAATCCCCTCATGGTCATTACCATGTTATGGCCATAATCCCCTCATGGTCATTACCATGTTATGGTCATAATCCCCTCATGGTCATTACCATGTTATGGCCATAATCCCCTCATGGTCATTACCATGTTATGGCCATAATCCACTCATGGTCATTACCATGTTATGGCCAAAACAAATGTACTCCCAATAGTCAAGGAAGGGGACAGACATGAAATACTAAATTAAAGATCAGTCTTTAGCAAGCAATTCTGGCAAAGCACTGGAGAAATTAATCAGATAAGAGAGTGATGCATCACCTGGACGAACTGTGTAACTGGAGCTATACAGCTGTAGTTGAAAATTTATATCTAACATACTTGATAACGAGTTCCATGACGGAGTCACCAAGATATGATAGGAGAATGAGGGCTGGATGTTGTGCATTTTCCTCTACTATAAAAAGAAAAATTGAAACTCTTACTCACAGAGAGCTTGTGTAGGAGATGGAGTGTCAAGCTGGAATAACTGGAAAGACAGTGAACTGGGTAAGAGTATCTGACAGGCACGAAACAGGGCCACTACGAGATGTCAGGCTGAAGGGATGTAGCAAGCAAGGTCTTTCAAGGCTAGCTCCTAAGCCCAATGTTCTTCCTATTCCATGTGAATTGCCTAAATTGTGAAACCAGTACATTCAGTACACATCAATGTTTGCAGATAACATAAAACAACTAAGAAAGGTGAAAAATGACGACTAAGAGTGGTGAAGGAAGTACTTTATCAACTCCAAAAGTGAGTAAACCAATGGTTAAGAGTTTATGCCCAACAAGTTTAAGGTAATGATTATGGAAAAGGGTGAAAAGACACTAGAAGGAATCATTATAATAAGGGCAAGACATCCACAGAAATCAGAGGACAAAGACTCGAGTGTGGATATAGTTCCAGCACTAACAGTGGAAGCACACACAAACTAAAAAGCATCAGCAACATATGAGAAGGGAGTAAACATAATAAAATGATACAGCAATAAAGGATACCTACTAACCTTCTGGGTTTGAACTCTCCATCTGTGATGTTTCATGTCCTAATAGTCTTGGAGTAAGCATAAACCCTGTATGAAAAGTCAAATTAATTATACTGTACAGTATATCTTATACTTCTCAAGAACTCTCATTCCCTTATAGGGTACTGGGTATATAGCCTCACACACTGATGGCTACAGTGGCCATTATGGAGAATTAGTTTCATTAAATTAAATTTTCCCTAAAGCTTTCTTAAGACTTACAATACTGGTACACTGTACTTCAATCACAATCGACTTGATAATGGTCCAGGAAATACCGAAACGTCGTCATCTCCTCATCATCTGGTATGTGGTTTAGTCTTCAAATCTCCAGCTACATTAGGCAAAGTTCAGGGTACCATCAATGGAGCCCTCTCAGAAAACCACAGTGAACTAAATATAGCAAATGCAGTAGAACAGACCAAATATTACCATGGTTACTGAAGGAGACTATGAGGCATTCTTTGTTACCCATTAATTAGTTTTCAATATGACACTAGAGATAGAAGGGAGGGAATTATCAGGAAAAAGCGTCAAGTTTATTGAATTAAATCTCTCTCTCTCTCTCTCAACCCACAAGTTAAATCTGAATTTCTTCTATTTTTAATCCAATTCAGCGTGTTAACCAGGTCAAGAGAAAAACAACTTACTTCCTGAGGGCTTTTTCTGAACATAGGTTGGTAATGGAAGCTCCCAATCAGGCTCCAGAGGTGCATCTCGAAGTTCTTCATCCCAGTCCTCCTGCAAACATCAAAATAGTTAAGAGTAAAATCAAAATTTAATGTACTATACTGTATGTTGTTATTGCAGACACATATCTAAGCTCCTTTAGCCCCTTTGAGAATGTTACACACATTACTGAATTCATTTTGGTCAATATGCTCTTGAACCTTCAGCAGATTATTTCTTGTGGTTATTACTTTAATTATAAAACAGAACAGTGCCAGAAATGAGTGGCATAAATATTGTTTTGTGTGGTCCATTTCCTGCAATAATTTCAATGCTAAAATTTGTAGATACTGTTCTCAAATACTTCCAATACTTGATAAAACAAAAATTTGTCTAGGCCTATACATATTCACACAAATTATTGAATACTGTACCAGAACAGTATATACAGTATATATTTACATTATTAAAATGACAAGTAATTATTAAAAGAAGGCACCAAGCCTGGGAGACTGTAGCAACTAGAAGTGTCTTGGGGTGAAGAAATACATACCGAATTTATAAAATATTTTTTATAAATTGTATTAATTGCAAAATCTTTACATACAAATATACAGTACATTATCATCAACCCATTTCCCATTGTTTTAGGATAGGGGAGTCATCAGCCTGAAGAAAAAAATGGGAACAATATAATGAAAGAAGGTTATCAATAAAAAAGAATATTCCCAAGTCATCAAGTCATTCCATTTTATTATTTTATACAGCTTCATAGATAAACAAGCAACACATTCCAGGAATTATTACCTGAATTCTACTCAAGGGGCTACCATCTCTTTAGTAACCTCAACAGGGACAGGAAGCTGGAGGCTTGTTATAGGTCCCCCCTCCCATTGTCCTCAAGAATTTTTCCAACTCGATTTTTAATTGAAGTACTGTACTGTATTATCTTGGCATTTATGGCATCTGCGGGTAGGCAGTTCCGAGGGTTTATAACCCTATGGGTGAAGAAGCATCTCCTGTTTTTTGTCCTACATTGTGGCTTGCTGAACTTGCAGCTGTTGTCCCTTGTATGCATCACATTACATCTTTTATGCAAGTGGTCTGGATTAATATTCTCCAACATGTTCAGTATTTTTAAGGTCCCGATGAGATCAGCCGTCTGGTTTGCAATTTTTTTATTCCCGTGGCTCTCAACAAATATATTCACTCCTGTCTTACAAACTGCATCCATTAAATTAGGTCCCCCTTACCATATCCTGTGCAAGGGTCACACTCAACACCCACCTCCTCACACATACACACTCAACACCTACCTCCTAACATACACACACACTGCATCTGCCCATTATTTTCCCAGCCTTCCTCTCCTCCTACCCTTTAAATCACTCCCTAAATTCACCAGTGTCTGGTCTGACACTAAAAAATTATAAGTTTTACCATAAGTTAAAAGAGGAAAGATATAAAATCCCCACAAAACCCACCTGCAAAATAACTGTACTTTTAAGTCATGTTTTTTTAAGTGGCCAGTGTTAGAATTGTTGAATATTCAGTAACAGGTTATGGATGCTCATTTCTGAATTATGTTTGTATAAAGAGAGAATCTGGAAGATCTAGATTTGATGGCCCCCAACAACACTAAAATGATTAATTTTTATATTAAAATTGTACATTTGGTACATTATCAAAATATATTGTATTCTATCATTTACACTCATACATGCACATACACATATACAAAAAAAATAATGAATATTAGAAAAAAGTTGTTGGAATAAAATTAGAATTATACTGTAAGGGTCAGGTTCCAATTAATCCATAATCTAAATAACCATGTACTGTACATTAAAAAAAAAAAAAATGACAATGAATGAAATGGCTTTTTCTGGTGGGTCCTTGGAGGCTCCCTGTTACTAGCAACCTGTATAGCTCCATCCAATTCGATTCACACCAGGCCCATGTGAGTCATTGGAAGCCTACTGGAGATCAGAGGTAAAAACCTGGCTTGCATTAAAGAGGGATCAGAGGGATCTCAAGATACAAGATCACTTGGACCAAGACAAAGCCACCAAAAATGTAGAGGGAGACAATACAGACAACACCAAGCTAAAACACAACACAGAAAACGAGACATCAAAATTATCCACCCAGTCATTAGGTGGTTCACTTTCTAGCAGCAGCTGTGTGTGCTGCCAGGTGGGTGTGCACCCTGGTACTGGACCTCCCAATTATTACATCAGTCACTGAGCCAGGAAGATGAAAATCAAAGCCCCTAATAGGGAAAGGGAGGGTCCAGGAAGTCTCCAAGGACCCACTAGATAGAGAAGCTTATTTGCATTCAACACTGGTTTCTGTGAGGGTTCCTATGGAGGCTCCCTGTTCCTCTCTCACCACACAGAACAAAAACATAGGGCAAACACATCAGGGAAGGAGGCGAGTAATAGTTAATAACCTCCATAAGAAGAGAAGTTAATGAGGGGTCACCCTGCCCAAAGCCGTGCATGCCCAGCGCAGATGAGGATGCAACACCAGCAAGCCCCTAGAAAAGTAAACTCAAGACATTGGCAGCTCCAGGTGAACAATAAATCTAAATCAACATAAAAAGTGAGGCATAAAACACACACACACACACACACACACTTGAAGCAAATACCTGTACTACAATATAGTAAGTACACAAGCAAATGGGGCCCTGCAGAACACAATCTAAAAGGATGGCTGTCACTTATCTGAAAAAAACGAAATTCAAAGAGCACTAATATGAGCGAGGAGGATAAGTGCAATGTATTGACACATCACGAGTGAACCACTTAACAACCAGTTGGAGTGGTTTAGTGTCATGTTTTCTGTATTGTTTACTGTGTTGTCTGTCTGTTTTGTCTTTATCTTCGTTTCTGGTGCCCTTTTCTTGGTCAGTGCTCTCATATCCTTAGTTCCCTGCACCTATTCTGGGCCAGGTTTTGATCTCTAGTCCCAGGTAGGCTTACAATAACTCGCAAGGGCCTGGTGTGAATTGAATTGGGTGGAACCCTTCCAGAAAATACTATTTATAATAAAACATATTCTTAAAAACTGTATACTGTACTCAGCTTTGTTATTATTACCTTAGTATCAAATCCTAATGCAAGACTTCCAATTGGGGAAGTCATCACCTCACTGGACTCCAAAACTTCCATTGGAACAATGTTGCTGGGAGAAGTAACATCATCTTTCTTACTAGTGGAAGCTGTTGTACCATTGGAATGATCCATCCTGTATGCATCAGAATATACATATAAATTTCTTTAACCACACTCATTACAGTATTTGCAAATTCAAAGGGCATGTAGCTCAAGACTATTTATAACACTGCACAATGCATGGCTGAAGACCCAAAAAATAAATATCAAAGGGAGATCTTTGTGTTCAATATCATGCAGATAACAGATATATTTGTACATAAAAAGGCCATGATAGCTTCTGAAAACGATTTTTGTTCCTTACAAAACTTTTTTAAAACAGAAGCCAGATGCAACTTCATAAAGTGTGCCACCACCAGATAATATTTCACAAATAAGTGCAGATGTAAACAACTGAGATCAATAGTCAAGTGGTCTAATAGTCAAGTGTTTGTAACTTCTTTCCCAACTTATTAAATAAGTAAAAGGTTTCAGATAATTTTCATGTGTATGGGTTATGATCAGATAATACCCTGGCCAGCATGTCAATGCATGTACACTAGTTTAAAGACCAAGATGCTGAGGCAGTGGTTACCAAAGCAACCCGAAGGTAAGCCAAAGAATCTCCACATGACACCAGTAATGAAAAAGGCACATCTTTGAAACTGAAATGATAATAGAGTCACTATCTGGCATAGTACTGTGCTGTAAATGGAACATGTTTTATGAATATGTATACACTACGTAGCCTTAGTTTTTAGCTGTGGGGCTACATCTAGCTGATTTTTAAGAATTGTATTTCTGTATGGAAAGTTTTCTTCGACTGATACCTAGATCTGTAAGGCTGTTGCTGGCAGTGGTTCACAGGCCCACATATCATCCAGCATGACTTCTTTCTTTAAAATTTAAATTCATTTTCTGATAATTCTTACATTTGTGGAGGGAGGGAGGGAGGGTGAAAAGTCAAGGACCCTCAAATGTTCATGCAGTGGTCTGTGCTTACAGCACCTCTACTCTTCGCTGGGTTTATTCCATACTTCCAGTAATATAGCTTGCTGCAAGTTTGTTTTATTGTGCAGACTGGGGACATGACCTTTGAATATATTCCTTGAACAATATTATATATTTCTTATTTTGTCTCCATTCCGTAGAATTATATTCAAGGGGTGGGGAACCTTTTGTTATAAGAATGTCATATATTAATTAGTGAAGATTCGTAGCCTAGAATGATGCTCGCAGCAGTACAGAAGGATCTAAATGTACACAGTTTGTATGTACATAGTTTGTACACACGAGTACTATACTTGCTGTAGCAACAGCAACACCCAGGAACAATCAGCACCCCCCCCCCATTTATTGTACTATACTTGAACCATACAGAAAAGGAGCAAGGCTACCTATGTTTGCCCTGTACCCCTCAATTTCCATCTGTGGAGAGTAGCAGAAGGGTTTATCGGGCACAGGAGTTGCTCAGCTCCTGTAATTACAGGAGCTCAACAACTTTACTCTCACATAAGGAAGCTACAGAGATGGCAAACTTGCCATAATAGGATCTTAATCTAATTTTAACAAATAAAGTAATCTTTTGATAGAATGACCACTGTAAACCTAAACCAAATACAGCACCCACTGTACCCTAGTTTGTACTATTCTTAACAAGTTAACAAGTTTATCACATCCTTCGAACTTTCCTTTTTAACAAGTAAGGAAATTTATACGGCTCGAGTACTCGGCCAGAGTGACACCAGGATCAGCTCTGACCTGAGCTCCGGCGGACAGTTACAGCCCCCATGCATGAACACAGCTAGTAATGAGTACTTGTAGGGGGCCAGGAGGGCTGTGCGATGACAGACGCAGCAGAAGACGCAGCAGCAGGAGACGCAGCAACAGGAGACGCAGCAGTAGGAGACACAGCAGAAGGGCTGCAGGAGACGCAGCAGGAGGCACAACAGAAGGGCAGGAGACGTAACAGTAGGGCAGCAGAAGACGTAACAGTAGGGCAGCAGAAGACGCAACAGTAGGGCAGCAGGTGACGCAGCACAAGACGCAGCATAAGACGCAGCATAAGACGCAGCAGCAGCAGCAGGAGGAGGGTGTGTACCGTGGCCGCGGGAGGTGGGGTCGCCTGGCGGGGAAGGCCGCCTGTCCTCTCACCTACACCACACTTCACCTCACTTAACTCTTCTTTCATACACATTTATATTATTTCCTCTATGATAAAATTACACAGTGGGTGAAAATGACTTATTGTAACACTGTTTACTCAAAGACAAACTTGAACTATGCTAAAGTGTTTTAGCATAAGTATCTGTACATATTTATTGTTTTGTTTATTATTGCATATCTTTATTTTAATCAAGCATTGTCAATATCTTTGACATTATTATTAAGACATTTATCAGTAATGACTTCAAATACCGTTATTCATTACCTTCAGGATAATTCAATGGATAAAAAAATTATTGTTCTATTTCAAAATGTAAAATGTATAGTTAAAGTATAAGTTTATGTAATCCTTCAAAATGTCAAAGTATAGGTTTATGAATATGA